GTTCGGCCAGCCCGCGAACCGTCCGGTTCGACTGGCGGTTCGAGTCTCGATTTTTGGTTCGTAAGTTCCAATCTGAATTGTATTTCGGACTTTTAATATTTTTTCGAGCCAAATCAGTCAGTTTAAGAATACCAGATAAAATTTTTGGACTTAGAATAATTTTTAAGAAAAATCCCATAACAGTCTAAATTTATCCGGATCAAGCATCTAAGTCAACTACCAGGTGGGAGCCTTTACAGGGCGTTACATTGCGCATTTCAATTATCCTGTATAAGGTACGTGAGTAAGAAATTTACCCAAACGGTCGAATTATCCCGTTTGTGGTCCAATTAATATCCAGGTGGGGGCGTACCTAAGGGCTTAAATATCCTATCTGATGACCAGTTGGGGGCCGACCTAAGGGCCTTTATACCCAAACGGCGTGTGCACACGAGCGGCCGACCTAAGGGCCGAGGGTCTTTTGACCACAACAAAGCAAGAAAAGAAAAGTTTACAGTTTAAGCTTTTATATATTTATGATCATGACACGTTATTATAAATGATGTTTTATTCAGTACGGGTCTTATGGAGATGTAGGGGTCATGTACTGGATTCCACATCATAGATAATATATGTACCATAGCAGAGGTATGTTTGAGACAGTTAGTATCCAGGTGGGGGCCGACCTAAGGGCTTAAATATCCCATCTGATGACCGGTAGGGGGCCGACCTAAGGGCCTTTATACCCCATCGGCGTGTGCACACAAGCGGCCGACCTAAAGGCCGAGGGTCTTTTGACCACAGTAAGGCCAGAAAAGAAAAGTTTACATTTCAGTACAACTTATTTATTTTATGCTGCTTTTAAGTTCATGTTTAAAGTTAAGATTATTACAGTTCCAGTTTTCCCACGAGCATGCAGATGTGCTCACACTCCCATAGTCTTTCTTATTTAAGGTATCGGAGTCAAGCGTGTCAGGTGAGCAGACGTGGCAAGAGTGGTCATGATCAGTGGACGTTTTTACACACCTCTTATACCTTGTAAAAATCCCGAAATTGTACATAACATGTATGTGTGTAATAAGTATTGTTCATTTTAAGCTTCCGCTAAGTTTCAGTGCGAGATAGACGGACTGCATGTATAACCACTTTATCGCCGTAGTGGCTCGTTTGGTTACATGTTTTAATTATGTCCGAGATAGTAAGTTAAGAATGTTTTCGTAGCATCCCGCAACGAGTTAGTGTTTTCGAAAACCAAGCTCGCACCACCTTTTGAAAACAAAAGTGATAAATTTACTCTGATTTTCAAAAGTCAAAGCTAGTCAAGGCGGGGTGTTACAGAAGATCTCCACCGGGAGTCTGACATTAGACATCACTGTCCTTGCCAGAATGAGTGCAGAGGATGATGCGCCCTTGACTTCCATGGACATCTCAAACTCAAATGCAGTACTCGCCTCACTGAATGAGCTTAGGACGAACTTTCGGCTCTGATACCACTTGTTGGGATAGAACAACAAGCGCAGCGGACAAAAGTACCCCTAGAACAAATATGACAAGCACTACTACTAAAGAAAATAAGCCAACACAAATAAATATAATATGATATAGAAAAGAACACATAAAATTAATAACTGTGTTCGGCCAATAGTGCCTATGTCTCCGGGAACCTCCAACCCCAAAGTTAAATTTACTAAACTAACTAATAAAATACAACTAGGGTTAAATAACCCACAAATTTAGGTTTTTCTTAATTAAGGATTTTCTTCTAAGATAGGAAATAATATAATTAGGTGCTATTGTAACCCAAAGGCAAGAGACATATTTATACTAAAAAGATCCTATACATTTTTAGTACACATCCGGTGTGGGACAAAAGATTAATCAAAATCTAACACATGCGTCACACGTGAAATTACATCACTTTTAATTTCATTTGAGATTTCAAAACATATGTTATCTTTCTTGAGGCACTCTTACTAATTACAATTGCAAGATGGTCTCTCATGTTATCACACAAGAATTTTTTTTTTCTTTGGTCAAATTCACACGGTATGCAATATTTCTTGCAAATTTTGTTATCGTGTAGCATTTGTTTTAGCTGTTATGGAGGTATGAGGATTAAATCCACGATCAACGAACCAGTCAAACTATTATGTTTTTTAAAAAACGATAGGATATATTTACTAAACCAAATTTATGAAGTTCTGGGCCAAAAGGCCCAATATAACTGCCAAAAAAGAAATATCTACAGCTTCCACGAGCCAGAAAGAGGGAGTTTGGGTTTGTTCCTGGCAAAGACACAAGCAAAGAACTTGGGTCCAAGACCAAACCTCTCGGCCAAACAATCTCACAAGACGAGAAATAAGGTAACAAAAAAAGCAAGCCACTGAACCAAACAAACCTAGCCTGCTAACAAAACAACTAGAAAAGAAAATAACTAACAAGAACCTAAACTAGCAAACTCAGTCCAATCACAAAGAGCAATGTGAAATGTTGCTGATTCTGACCTAAGAGAGTTCTTGAAAACCCAGAGGTTGCGAATTTTTCAAATCTACCAAAGTATATAAGTAGGCAATTGTATCCTTTCTTCTGCTGTAAGGCTTTGAGGCAATGAACATAATTTTAGCAACCAGGACTTGAAATAATTGGTGTTGTTTTTAGACGATCCCAAGAGCTGGTGAGAGTTTCGAGATCAACTGAGCCTTTTTGCAATGAAAAAAAAGATGTTCTTGAGTTTCTGGGGCCTGTCTACAAACCTTACAAGTTTGGTCAACCTAAACTCCAGTAGCATTAACATTGCAAAGAACATGGAGGATGTTGTTAACCCCTTTCACAAGAAGTTCTTGAGCTTTCCTTTGACTTTTAGCCTCCAGCATCTCCTTCTTGCTTTCTTTTACTCCAGGTGGTTTGATCTTGATTCAACTAAGTCCATCTTCCTCCATTTTCATTCTATGAGCTTTGAGTGAGTAGAAGCCACAATAAAGTTACCCTTCTTATCCCAATCCCCTCTGAGTCTGTCTGGCTGATGAGGATCAAGACCTTCAATCTTTAGTATTGCCTCAAAATCAAGTTGAGAGAAAAAGTTCTCTATGAGCCTTCTGTTCCACATTCTCCTTATTTCATACATTAGTTCCTTGACCCAAGTAATATGAGAATTGGTATGATTCCTGCAAGAAAAAGTGAATCCTTCAAGGCCTGGGACCCAAGGGTGGTCCCAAACTTTTATTACTTCTTGACTTAAAATCTCAGACTAGAATGGAATGAACCCCTGAGTTTCATCCAACTTCCCCAAGGCCATGAGCAATTTTTTTTTTCTCTCTTGAGCATCCTGCTTACCAGAAGGTTAGGCTGAGACAATAATCTCCAGAGCTGTTTAGTAATTAGAGCTTTGTTGAAAGTATGAATGTCATGAAAGCCAAGACCTCCAATCTCCTTTGGAACGGTGATGGACTCCCAAGATTTTCAGTGAATTCTGTTCTTTTCTTGATCTTTATTGCTCCACCAAAAAGCTGCTATGTTGCTGAGATTTTCTTGATCAGAGATTTTGGGAGCATAAAGCAAGACATTGTGTAAGTTGGAAGAGCTCCCAAGACAGCCTTGATGAGGACTTCTTTACTTGCAAGAGAAAGATACATGTTCCAACTCTCTATTCTTTTTTTTTTTTTATTAACTGAATCCTCCACAAAAGCAAAAGGTAGCAGATTTTGATTTTCCAATTCCAAGAGGTAAACCAGGTATTTTGAAGAAGTTTGGGGAGTGATCTTCATCAGGATACTACAAATGTCTGCTTGGATGATTTGAGGTGCATTTTTATTGAAAAACACTGAAGATTTGTCTAAGTTGATTTTTTGACCTGGCAGATTCTGGTATTTTTGGACGATCTGTAACAAGGTTAAGGCTTGATTCTGGTGAGCTTTAATAAACACAAGAGTATAATCGACAAAAAACAGGTGGGTGATTTGGGGGGAGGGGGTGGGGGTAATTTTTTCTTAGCGTGATTCCTTGGATGGAACCTTTTAAAGCCTCATAATTAATCAGATGGGTTAGAACTTCATAATTCAAAATGAAGATGTAGGGTGAAAGTGGGTCTCTCCACACCTTATTCCTCTTGATGGAGTGGTGAAGCCACAGGCTTCCCCATTAATATTGAAAGAAAAAGAAGAGGAGGTTAAGTAGTTCATTATCTACAATACAAAGATAGGGTTTAAACAAAAATTTAGCATAACTTTTCTCACACAATCCCGCTCAACCCTGTCAAATACCTTTGCCATATCTAGTTTGATAGCCATGTAACAATGCTTTCCACTTCTATGATTTTTCAGAAAATGGATAACCTAATGAGCAATGATACATTGCCCAAAATTTACCTATTTTGAACAAATGCAGACTGGTTGTCCTAATACATCAAGGCAAGCAGGGCTTAAGTATGTTTGCAAATATTAGAAATAACATTGTAAACCACATTATAGAGACTTATGGGCCTAAACTGAGAAACTTGAACAAGGTTAGCACACTTAGGTATTAAAGTAATCAAGGAATCATTAAGACTATTCAGAATTCTACCAAACTCAAAAAAGCTTTGAATAGAAGCACACAAGTCAATATTGATTAAATCCAAAAAAGATTGAAAGAAGGTAAAACTCATACCGTCTGGTCCTGGGGATTTGTTTGGATGGATTCTAAAGAGAGCCTTCTTGATTTCATCTGAATCCACTAGAGCAACCAAGTCAGAATTCATAGCCTCTAGGATAATCCTCCTGATTCCTCTCAACACATTTCATTCATCTGAAAAGTCCTCAGAGGTGAAGATATGAGAGAAATAATCCTCTATACAATGGGATATGACATCCTTACTTTCACAAACAGTCTAGTCTCTCTAATGAGCCTGTTTATCTTGTTCTGTCTCTTTCTTTGTGAGGTGTTGGCATGGAAATAACAAGTGTTTTTGTCCCCAAATTTCAACCAACTAACATTCGATTTCTGTTCTCAATACCTTTCTTCAAAGGCATACGCTTCATTGAGTTCTCTGGTAAGATGGCCCTATTTTCTCCAGTCTCTGAGTCCACCAGCATTTCTTAAGAAGTTGAGTTCTCTACTGAGAGAGTCAATTTTCTTGACATTTTTTGATTTAAATGAACTACTCCATTTGAGTAACACTACTCTAGTTTCTCTTATTTTTGGTTGAAGAGAAAACATAAGAGTACCCTGCTGAAGTTTGCTCCAAGCTTTGAGGACTTTCTGCTCTACTCCCTCCTTGCCAAGCCATCTCTTGTCAAATAAAAACCTCTTCTTGTTCTTAGAATTACTAGGGCAGTAATTTAGCAGGACTAGATTGTGGTCAGAGGATCTTATGAAGATGTTAAAGGTTTGAGCTGAGGAATAAAGGTTAGACCAGTCAATGGAACCAAATATCCTGTCAAGTTTTTCCTCAATGAACCCTTCATGTTCTCTATTGTTACCCTAGGTGAAGGGTTACCCATGCAAAGAGACTTTAGTATCCCCATGGAGTTAATGAAGTCCTTCAAATGAGAGAAGAAGTTTAAAGATCTTAAGTTTTCCCTTCATTTCTCTTCTGGTTTGGTGATATCATTGAAGTCACCTCCAAGGAACCAGAATTTACCCCAGATTGACTTTTGAGAGATAAGATAGTTCATTGTCTTTTCCTCTCCTCAAGATTTGTGCTGGCATATAAATAATTTCCCCAATAGGTAACTTTTTGACTTCATCCCAAAATTCCATCTCAATGCAGAAGAGATTTTTTACTATCCTAAAAACCTGAACCTGGTTATCCCAAAATATCAAAAGACCACCACTTCTGCCTAGAGGCTCAACAGCAGTCCAATTATTTCTAATACCTAAGTTCTTACAAACAATCTAAGCAAAGCCATTTTTCTTTTTAATTTCTGAAAGAAAAATAAAACTTGGATGATGGAGTCTGCAGATCTCCTTTAACTGAGGAACTGCAGAGGGGCCACACACACCTCTACAGTTCCACACCATTGTCTTCATTTATCTTTTTGAGGCCATTTGGGGCTGGCCTCCTCCACCATAAAAGAACTTGCTTTTTACTTTTTGCAATGACTATTGATCTGAACTGTTGTCTGATCAGCTTCTTCTTCATTATCATTAGTAGTTCCAGATTCCTCTTTCCCTTTAGGTTTTTGAGAGATGGTTTGTTGTTTCATTTGTGTTGTGAAACGAGAACAATACGAATTAAAGACGAGAAAGTAAACGACACAAGATTTACGTGGTTCGGCAATGTGCCTACGTCCACGGCGGAGCAGTGATCTTATTATTCACAAGTTATCCCAAATACATCAATACACAATGTATCTCCGCTCGCTTCGCTCGCTCCGCTCCGCTTGTAGGCATCGGCCTGCCTCCTTCCTTTGTCAATATATGAGCCATATCAACAATTTGGTAGGTGGTTGAGGTTTTCTTTTCCAGCTCTTACCACGGCCTTAGATTTCAACTGGCTGGGAGGAATTATTCAGTGATAGAATTGGTGAGGGGTTGATGTTGGAGATTGAGGATTTGTAGCTGGGAATTATGTGCCCATGTCTATGGGGAAATAGCTGGCTTGTTAGATGATATATTAGTTAATAGTAACCGATTTGGTGGATGAGAAGATGGTTCAAGAGGAGTTGTTAGGGAGACTGCAGATTGTGGCATGTGTGTTTGGGTCTTAGGTTGTTCTTGTGAGAAAGGTTGGGTTTGATTGCTCTGATGTGTGGAGGATGGGTTTGAGGTTGTTCGAGAGGGGGTTTATGAGGGATTAGGGGAAGAGGAGAAGAATAAATCAGAGGCTTTCAACCAATCTCCAAATAGCCCTTCAGTTAAGGATCCCTTTGATATATCATCAGTTTTTTTTGCACACCCTCTATCCAGATGACCAATACAACCGCAGTAAAAGCAAGAACTTGCTAATCTTTCATACCTGAAGTGGACTTGGATTTTCTTTTCCCCATTTGAATATTTGTTCATCTAAGAAGTGGTTGATTCACAACTAAAGCCACTAGGATTCTGATGCATTTACCAGCTAGGTTTCCTCCATGAGGAACACGTAGATCCTTTGCCCTTTTGAAGATTTTGCGTATCTTCAATCAAACTTCTACTGAAATCCAGTGGAGAGGTATGTTCCATGCTTGAACCCAGAATTCAAGTTCTTGGAAGCACGGTGTTCGGCTAATAGCTCTTCAGTCCAATCTTTAGGATTAAGAATTGGTTTTCGACCGTCCAATTTGGCCCTTTACTGACCTTTAGTTTGTCTGCATTTTTAGACATAATGAACTTAGAAAAATGAGGGCTAATCTCCCGAACTGCCGCTGTAGATTTTATCTGCCACATCTGGATGATAGCTCGTCTAATTCTTATTATGTTTGCCCTTTTTGTCTGAATTATCTTCCCTAGTAGAATTCTGCTACATTCCTCAGCACTGAGAATAATATCTTCAGAATCGAAAGGTATTACTGAATTTTCTTTGTCTGAAAATTGAACAGATTCAAGCTTGAAGGCAACACAGAAAGGAAACACTAGTGGAATAGAATAAATCTAGGAGGACCTGAAACACAGAAAGGAAACACACCGAAAAGCCAACCAAAAGGAAAACATAATCTATGGTTTAAGGAAAAACAAAATCTAGGAAAAGCAAACCAATTTTTTTCTAGGAAACTGCTCCGTTTAGGTGTTCAGCTCTCGACTAGTTCTGATTTTCATAATTATAGCTACCATGTTTTCATGTTGTCTGTTTTATTTGCTATAAATGTCATCTAATAAGTCTAATTATAACTAAAATATTTTTATTTCTTGCTATGTTTCGGATTGTGTTGTGTTCGTCTTTTCTCCACAGTCGTGTTCAAATTTGATATCGTTGAACCATGTCATCTCTAGTGATAACAAATCATATCTTCCATCCAGTTTAATTGTGCAAATTTTATTTTAGAAATGAGGCGAACAATAATATGAAATAATATATATATATATATATATATATATATATATATATACATATATATGGGGCGGATAAAATGGGACCAGCTCTTAAAATGCGCTCAGCTCTTAAAATGGGACCAGCTCTTAGCAACTACAGACAACTAACCTAGAAACTACAGAAAATAACCTAGCAACTACAGAGAACTAACCTAGCTACTACTAACCTAGCAACTACAGAGAACTAACCTAGGAACTACTAACTTAGCAACTACAGAGAACTAACCTAGCAACAACAGAAAACTAACCTAGCAACAACAGACAACTAACCTAGCAACTACTTAGAACTAACTTAGCAACAAGATAGAATTAACCGAGCAACAACAGACAACTAACCTAGCAACTAGACATAACCTAGCAACTTAAGACAGAGACTAAAAATATCAAATGCTCTCCCTTCTCTCTAACTTTCTCTCTCTAGGTTTTCTCTTCCCCCCTTCCACCCTCAATCACCACATCTCTTCAACCTCAGCCACTACTCCTGACTAGCCGGCGCTGCGGCGGCCTACCCGGCCTCCTGGGACACCTCACCTTTCCCTTCTTATTATCCATTTTTTTTATCCTACTAGTCCTCTAAGTTTTTTCAGTTTTTGCCTAATCATGTCTCATTCGGCCAATTCACAGGCCAACAAACAGAGTTCACCTCCCAGGCAAGCTTCGGAGTTGGAGCTCCTCATCTCTCAGCCGGAGTTCCGAGAGACTATTTTGGATACCCGAGCAAAACCATGTCCAATTGTCAAAATAATGGACATCCCTTGGGACAACAAATCACCTCTATATCTGGGCCCAACCCACCTGCTCAAGTCGTCCCTCTCATTGTTTCAAACTCAGCACACATTAAATCCTACTCAGCCCCAATAATTTCGATCCACCCCTCAACACACCAGGCCCAACCCCTGGGCCCAACTGATCCCATAACCCCCCAACATAACGACCAACCCTCTCATCTTAGCCCCTTTCTGGGCCTCCCCTTTTATGGGTCCAATCTACCCATCAAACCTCAATCTCACCACAACTTAACTCAACCAACCTCTCAGCCCATCGAGCCTGCCACACGCCAACAGACTCTGCCCCGAACTCTTTCTGAACCCGTTGCTGCTGCCACACAACATCAAATGACGGGAGTCGTTCACCGGCCACTCGCCGGCGCCGAAGCTGTCTCGACCACCGGAATTTCACACACGACCGACAATCCATCTGGGGCTACCCCAGAATTGACTTTGACGACCGAAATTCTCGGAGCCCGACCAAAATCTCCTTCCACGACTGACTACCTTGCCGGAGTAGCCGCTTTTGGTGCCAAAAAATCTGAAACGGCCGTAGCTTACGCGCGAAAAGACAGCGTGGTTGCTTCGGATCCATGCTCGGAATCCGCGGCCAAACATACCGGACAACCCCCAAACGGGATGCCACCGATGGGCCCACCCACGGCTAACCTCGCTGCAGCCAGGTCTCTTCCAGGCACATCCACTGGCCCGCTTTCCTTCCGGAAAGCTATTACGGGAAGAAGGGATGGCGGCACGGGCGCCCCGCGGCCGACGGCTAAAGATTTCATCTTTGACGGGGGATACGAGCATGCCTGTGGGACCATTATTCGATCGGAGGGAAACAAGGTGAAGGCCCGATTCACTCAAGCCGAATCTGAAGGCCTGGCCAGTAAGTTAGCTAACACCCTGGTTTTTAAGTTTACTTATGCTATCCTGCCCCCCGAGATATATCTGCTGGATTAGGTAAACTGGGTTTTAAGGGTAGAGTGTCGTCTAAGTGGTATAACTTTAACCACCTCCTAGTCTCTTTTCATCTCCCCGAGGATTACAACGAGGATTATTCTAGGTCGGAACAAATTGATAGGATCCCCCCTTTTCGTCCGCATGTCGCCCCGCGGGGCGACACAGGGGCTTACGACCTCGATTCATCTGTGTGGATGCCCAGCTAGGGTGTTCAAGTATACTGTCGGGTTTAACCCGAAGATGAAAACGCCTGTTGTCCCCGTGTGGTGCCGTCTTCCCGGCCTCCCACCCCACCTTTACGATCGTGCTTCCATCACTACGCTTGGTAAGTGTATTGGACAGCCGATTCGTATTGACGCCCTGATGGCCATTCAGTCGAGGGCTAACATGGCGCGATTTTGTGTAGAGATAGACCTCAGAGTTGAGCCCGTCCATGAGATTGAGATTGAGCAGGGCTCGGAGACAATTGCTCAGCGGGTGATCTATGAGAAGATCCCCGCATTCTGCAATTTGTGCAGTCATGTGGGTCATATTGCGGCTGATTACTACACTAGTGGCAATAAGCCACGGCCCACACTTCTGCAGCGCCACCGTGCGACTCAACCGGGGCCCTCCACCGGCCGGAGGGACCCGAAGAGAAAGGGCAAAAGCCCACTCCGCGTGCCCGAGACCCCAAATGGGTCTAAGGATAAGGGCAAGGTTGTGATTGACGCCATTGCCCAAACTGGGAAGGATGCTCATCCTAACCAGCCTAAGCAGTTGGCCATAGTTGGGCCCAAGCCCAAGTCCACGGGCTTTCTTCCCAGACAGACCTTACAGTCGGCCTTCAAGGCCAACCACTCGTACTTTGCTATTCTCTCCCCTGAGGCAGAGAATGAGGTTGTGCCTTCCACCAGTGGCCCACCTAGGATTACGGAACTTACGCTTCTTGATGATGACGACCTCCTTGTAGACGATATGGACCAACCGGACGCCTCGTCCAGGGGCGAGTCCATCCACTTATCTGATGACAGTGCGCGCGATGCTGGTCCTTTGACTGTGCATGTAGCTTAGCCCGGACCGCTCTCTGGACTTGAGGGCCACTGTCGTCACCGCTCCCCTGAAAGGGGATGAGTCGGCTAATCTCCTCCTTGCTGAGAGTGGGAGCTCGGCTGAGCATATAGCCAGCCCCCATCCTCCCTCTGGCGGCGAGCACCTGAGTGTTCCGCCTGCTGGATCCTCTCTTTCACCCATCCCCGAGCAGACATGCGGTCTTAACCGCACCCAGCATGATGTCTCGTGCGAGAGCTTCGCCTCTAGTGCCTTCGTTCAATATGACAGACATGAGACAGCCCCGAAGATGGGACAACCCGCTAGTGCCGCGCTAGGTCAGACTGCCCAGCCAGACGACACACAGGCCATGAGCACCTACCGAGGCAAGCAGTCCACGAGGACCAGAGTCACGCAGCGCACGACACGACGAACGGTCTCCCCTGCTATTCGATCCTTCCGCCACATTTCTTCTTTAGGTGTCCCAACTCAGCCTCGCCACAAGCAAACTATGTCCGGTGGCTCTTGCGACCGTTGACATGTCTATCACATCCTGACTTGGAATGGCCGTGGCCTGGCGAATAGGGCTACTCTCTCTCACCTCCATTCTCTCATTCGTGATCACAGACTCGATTTTGTTGGCTTTATTGAGCCGATGATTCGCACCCCTTTTTTTGACTACTACTCGCGTCGCCTTGGCTTCCACTCGGGCGTGGGTAATATTTCGCATAAGATCTGGTTCTTTCACTCGCGTGACTACACTTGTCGAGTCCTCCGTGACACCGATCAGGTGCTTCACGTTGAGCTTTCCGCTGCCCACCTCTCAGAGCCCATCTTTCACACCTTGGTTTATGCCAAGTGTACTAGGGTCGGACGATATGATCTTTGGGACACCCTGCGTGAGATTGCCGAGAGTATGGAGAGATTGCCATGGATGGTTAGTGGCGATTTCAACATCTTTCTGCATCCCAATGAGTGTGTGGGTGGCCTTTCGGACTGGTCACGGGAGATGTGGGATTTTGCTCAGGCGGTGGCGGACTGTCAGTTAATTGACGCTGGATGTGATGGTGAGCCCTTCGCGTGGGTGAGGGACGGACTCAAAGAGAGGCTAGACCGTGCCTTGGTTTCTGAGGCGTGGGCGAAGGTGTTTGCGGTTACGACCATCACACACCTTACTCGATTTGGATCTGACCATTCACCCCTTCTCATCCGGTGCCAATTTTCGAGCACCCCCTGCCGCTCTTCATTTAGGTTCCAGAAAATGTGGGTTTGCCACCACTCATTCCACGACACTGTCAGGGATTCCTGGCTTCAGCCGACTGGGCTCTTCGGGATGCGCAATCTCGAGGTGAAGCTCGGCAGACTGCGGCGTCGGTTGAGACAATGGAACTGGAATGTTTTTGGAAACCTTCATTAGCGCCTTTCTACGGCTCAGAGTGCGCACGCGACGGCTGAGCGGGCCTATGACCTGGACCCCACTCCGGAGAATAGGACTGCGATGCACTGCTGCCACGCCGAGTACCAGCTCCGACTCGTTATGGAGGAGGACTTCTGGAAGCAGAAGGCGGCCGTTCGCTGGGTGGCCGAGGGCGGGCGGAATACTAGGTTCTTCCAGGGCTACGTTAGGCAGAAGCGTGCTAAGTCGTACATTCATAGTATCGAGGCTGATGGGTCATCCCTGACCCAAGAGGCTCATATTCGGGAGTCCGCTGTTGCTCACTTCCAGACCCTCTTCACCTCTGACAGAGGGTCCCTCGTGGCCCCGACCGCTTCTCTTTTTCCAACTATCCTTCCTTCGGTCGATCTCCTTGGCCTCTGTGAGATCCCGAGTAGGGAGGAGGTTAGGGATGCTGTCTTCGGGATTGATCCCAACAGCGTTTCTGGCCCGGATGGTTTCTCCTCTCTCTTCTACCAGGTCTGCTGGGTTTTAGTCGAGACTAACGTCGAGGAGGCAATGTTGGATTTTTTCTCCGGTCACCAGATGCCGGATTCCTTCATGTCTACCTCTTTCGTCTTGATCCCCAAAAGACCCAACCCCAGCTCTTGGTCCGATTACAGGCCCATTAGCCTGTGTAACGTGACCAACAAGCTCATTTCGAAGATTCTTAACAGCCGCCTTTCACCCCTTCTCCCCTCTTTCATCTCTCCGAACTAGAGTGGCTTCGTCAAGGATCGGGTCATTAGTGATAACATTCTTCTGTCCCAGGAGATGATCCACGACATCTCCCGTGCGGACTGGAAGCGGGCTCCGAATATCGCTCTGAAGCTAGACATGGCTAAGGCGTATGATAGGGTTGAGTGGTCGTTTCTTAGGGAGGCACTGGCTAGGATGGGATTTCCTGAGCGTTGGATTAGTTTTGTGGAGGCGTGTGTGGAGCATTGCACATTCTTAGTTCTGGTTAATGGCAGCCCACCGACTTTTTTCCCTTCTCTAGAGGCCTTAGACAGGGCGACCCCCTTTCCCCTTCCCTTTTCGTTCTTGCGGCGGACTACCTCTCTCACTGTCTTGACGGATTTATCCGCGACTCTCCTCACATAACCTATAGCACACCTGGCTATGGTCCTCCCATCTCTCACATCTCTTATGCGGATGACATCATCATCTTCACCCGGGCGGATGATGATGGACTGGTCGAGCTTATGCGCCTTCTAGAGCACTATGGCTCGGTAACCGGTCAGCTGGTCAGTGTTCAGAAGAGAACCTTCACCCTCTCCTCTTCCAGCGCAGACAGGTGGGCTCAGCGGGTCCACGACATTACTGGCTTTGCGCGTGGCGACCTTCCCATTACCTACCTTGGTGTCCCTTTATATAAGGGCAACCTCACGAGAGCGCTCTTTGTGGGCGTTAGGCAGAGGATGATTGACAGGATCTCTGGTTGGTCGCATAGACATCTTTCTTTCGGTGGACGTCTTGTGCTGATCAAGAGCACTCTTAGCTCTCTTCCGATTCACTTGCTTATGGTCCTCGACCCCCCTAGGTCTACTCTTGACGATATTGACCAGATTATGGCTCGTTATTTCTGGGGTTACGAGGACGGTTCTGGGAGGGGGAGACGTACCCACTGGGTGAGTTGGGACTCTATCTGCCGCCCCCTCCCTGAGGGTGGCCTTGGCATCCGCCGCCTCAGGGACATTGTTACAGCTTTCTCCTACAAGCTGTGGTGGCACTTCAGGGAGGGAAAGTCGCTTTGGGCTCAGTACCTTCACGGCAAGTACTGCCCTAGACGTGCCAACCACCCTTGTTGGGTGACGGTAGTTGATCATGATAGCAGACAGTGGCGGCGCCTCACTAAGGTCGGTAGGCGCGCCCAGGATCACATCTTCTGGGTTCTGGGCGAGGGCGAGGTTAGTTTCTGGGATGAGTGGTGGGTAGGTGATAGGCCATTATCTAGGGATAGGCAGGTGTCGCACTCCCCCTACCTGCTTGTGAGCGACCTTTGGTCGGATGGGTCGTGGGATTGGGGGAAGCTAGATAGGGAGTTGGGCTCTGGTGCGGGTTTTAGCGAGCATTTATTAGATCAGATCCAGCAGATCCCCATCTCGGGGGACGGTTCGGATGGCATGAGGTGGAGACTTACATCATCGGGTGTGTTTTCTACTACCTCGGCTTGGGAGCAGATCAGGCTGAGAGATCGGCCTAATCTTCCCTTCGAGGCCATCTGGAGCGACCTTTTCTCACAGAGCACACACCTTAGACACGTGGGCATCCTCATTCCTTGTCTGATCCTTTGGTTCACCTGGACAGAGAGGAATAGTGCGAAGCATAGGGATATTACCTTTTTGTTTTCTCACATTGTTTTGCAGGTAGAGAGACACATTTCACTCCTCATAGCATTGGGCAGGCCCACGGCCCGAGACTGGACAAATTGCACGCCGCCACACCGTTATATGGTGGCCCCCCCCACCGCCTGTTCGTCCTCCTCGGGCCAGAGCTGTTGTTTGGCTTCGACCTGACTCTCCGTGGGTCAAGCTGAACACTGATGCCTCTTTTGATCGCCACACCGAAGTTGTCGGAGGAGGAGGCTTGATCCGGGACCACAGCGGTGCCCTCATCACTGCCTTCCACGCGCCCTTTCAGGCCTCCTCGAGCTACGATGCAGAGATTCAGGCATTACAGATCTGCCTTCAGATTGTTGTCCACCTCTCTAGCCATATTTGGATCGAGCTAGACGCTGCGGCTGTCGCCACTCTCTTGACTTCGGGCCACCAGGGCTCGTGGCAGATTCAGCACCCGCTTATGCGTATTAGAGCGCTACTCCGGTCTGTCCATCACAGGATCACGCACATTTTCCGTGAGGGGAACAGACCTGCGGACTACCTCGCCAGCCTTGGCGCCACCGCACCAGACTCCCATACGTTTCAGATCGACACTGCTCCACTCTGACTTCTCACGCTAGTACGGATGGACCAGCATGGATATCGATCTTTCCGCTTTCAGTAGATTAGGTTTTTTTGTTTTCTTTAGATTAGACTTTTGCTTCCGGGCACCTGTTAGCCCGATGACAGACTTTGTTTTATTTTCCTTTTTTGGTTTTTCTTTTGTTGTTTTTGTTTTGCTTGTCAGACTTTGCAGACTGTAGTATGTTGATATTTTGGGCCCCAGTTTTGGGGTTTTGATCATGCACAGGTTGGGGATCCGGCCCAATCCCCCGCCCTTCCGGGGCGTTGTTTAAAAACAAGACATAACTAACCTAGCAACAAATAGAAATAACCTAGCAACTAGACACAACTAACCTAGTAACATCAGACAACTAACCTAGCAACTACTAACCTAACAACTACAGAGAACTAATCTAGCAACTACTTAGAATTAACTTAGCAACAGGACTTGAGTGGTGTAGTAGAAAAAAAATTATGCTCTCCCTTCTCTCTACATTTCTCTCACTAGATTTCATCCCTTCTACCTTCAACCCTCGTCTCACTGCCACCACCACCACCACCTCCACTGCCGTCTAGCCCCTCCTTCGCTGCCGCCGGCGGCCCACCGCCGGGCCGCCGGGCTTCTCTTCACTTTTATTTTTTATTTTACCCTCCCCGCTATCATCTATGGACCCAAACCGCAGCCCTGTACCGCAACCGCCGCCATCTTCCTCCCTAGAACTGCCCAGCATCCCGCCGGATTTTCTTCACTTTCTCCATCGGCCAGACATTCAACAAGCTTTTCTGGCTTTTCTCGAAAAAGGCTCAACAAAATTGTCGGGAAATGGAGAAATTAGAGATGTAGAAGACGGTGAAATAACTGATAACAAACACAGCGGCTCCAAAAATGGGGCTAAGGAAACACCGACTGAGCGCGGGTCTCGGCCTCCGTCGATGGAACAAGGCTCACCGGTCATGTCGAAAAAAGGGTCGTCGGACAAATCGCGCTCCGCCGCCGCCACCACTCCTTTGACGTCTGAGAACAGAAGATCCAATTCTGATAACAGGGATCCAACTATGGCCCTCGGGACACTTTCTCCGGCGGCGCATTTGGGTTCATCGAGAAGGACGACACACGCCGCTATTCCTCCAATTCTGACCGAACAACTCCAGCCCCCAGCTCAACCTTTACGACAACTGGTAGGGTTGGAAGAAACGAGCTGTAAAATGGACTCTCCCCAACCTCTGGATCCATCTTTGGGAAATGGCCCTTTGGGCCAAGTAAATCTTGGGCCCAATAAAACCCCTCAACCCAATGGTTCCCAGCCCACCACCCTTCAACCCATCCCCCTACCCTCTCAGTCCCAGCCCAACCTCGACACCTTCCAGCTTCAGCCCGCTAACCCACAGTCTCTCTCTCAAACCGATGCTAATCAGCAGGTCACCTCCTCCGACTGCAACCTTCCGACAGGCGCCAACCACCTCCTCGCCGGCGCCGGCGCCGGCGCCGGCGAAGGCTTGACCACCGGAAAATCAGAAAATGACGGCAACCCATCCGGAATTGTCCGTAAATTGATTCTTACGGCCGGAATTCTCGGACCCCGACCATTGTCACCTTCCCCGACCAATCAATATGCCGGAATAGCCACCCTTGCTGCCGGAGAATCTGAACCGGACTTTTTGTATGTGCGTGAGGATGGCGTGACTTTTGCGTGCCCAAAAACGACGCCATCGGCCCAATTTACCGGACCCTCCCCGAACGGGCCCCCTCCGACGACCGCCTCCACGGTCAAACCCGCTGAAACCGGGGACCATCCGGGCACCTCCACGGGCCCACTTTCCTTCCGGGAGGCTATAACGGGGAGGAGAGATGGCGGCACGGGCGCCTCGCGGCCGACACCCAAGGACTTTACCTTTGACGGGAATTACGAGCATGCTTGCGGGACCATTATCCGCTCGGAGGAGAACAAAGTCAAGGCCCGATTCACCGACGCCGAATCTGTCGCTCTCGCAGGTAAACTAGCTAACACCCTGGTCTTTAAGTTTTCATATGCTATCCCCGCTCCCCGAGAAATATCTGCTGGGTTAGGAAAACTGGGCTTTAAGGGTAGAGTGTCGTCGAAGTGGTACAATTTCAACCACCTTCTAGTCTCGTTTCACCTTCCCGAGGATTATAATGAGGTCTGGCTTAAGACCTCGATTCATTTGTTTGGATGCCCAGCTAGGGTGTTCAAATATTATGCCGGGTTCAACCCGAAGAAGGAGGCGCCGGTCGTCCCCGTGTGGTGCCGCCTTCCCGGCCTCCCACCCCATCTTTATGACCGTGCTGCCATCACTACACTAGCTAAGTGTATTGGGCAGCCGATTCGTATCGACGCCCCGACGGCCCT